TCGGGCATATGGGCAGATCTTTCCCATATTTTTACAAACCATCAGCACACTGTGGGTAATGTGGTCAGCATTACGCCGGCTGTCTTTACTTTCCCAGGACAGCCCATCCTGGTACCCATTTTAGGCTGGGCCGACCTGCGACGTCCCATACCACGACAAAAATCCACGCAGCCTGCAGTGGGTTTGCTTCTGAAATGGCACTGTAGGTTATAGAAATAATAGATATCCTTACAGCATGCATGGTAGTTAGTTAATCCAAAGATTATTCTCATTGCACATTAGACAAATCCATAAGAGCTCGGATCCCATCTTCAGCATATCCCTTAGAATATGGTGACTTATAACATGTGTTCTGTGTTTGTTTGCTATTCTTTATTGGCTTGTCTTGTCTTGTCCACAATTGCCTCACAGCGTAGTGGGGAGTCGCAGTTTTCTATCCTGGGCCAGGTGTGTTGAACGTGTTGTTATTAGTCCGTGTTGCCTCAGGATCTCTGATATATTGTCTATCCATCGTACTCTCGGTCTGCCTCTTGCTCTAGGGCAGTAGTTCTGTTCGTTGTATGCTCGTAGAGGCAGTTGGTCGGTTTGCATTCTCATCAAGTGGCCAAACCACTCTATTTGTTGCCACTTTATGTATTGCAGGCATGGTGTGGTTCCTACAATTGATCTAATGTTCTCGTTTCGAACTCTGTCTCTCCTTGTGACATTGGCAGCCTTACGTAAGCATCTCATTTCGCACGTCGTAATCTTTTTCTCCTGTGCTCTTGTTAGGGACCAGGTTTGCCATTGGTAGCAGAGGGTTGGTATAAACATGCAATTTATCAGTTGTTGTTTTAGTGCCATAGTGATGCTTGGGTGTTTTAGCAGTGGGGAGAGTTGGTAAGTTACTGCGTTCGCCTTTTGACATCTTGCCTCAACTTTATTGGCTACCTACATAATATTCATATTTGGTGACACCTCTTTTGAAATGCAGTTCTTATAGTCTTATCATGGTTGCTGATTCACCAACATTTCCTGAACCATCTACTCGTCCTCCCTCCCTGAGAGCTTTGAGAACGTCGGCCTGGTCCTTTGTTGTCCTGTGCCTGCCGTGGCCCTGCCAGCAAGTCAATCCACTTGCTCATTCCCTCTTACCCAAGAGTGTCCTGGCACAAAAATGAAACCGATTTCTCTAGCAGGCAAGATTTCCTCAGAGGCTTCAACCATTGTCTTCGAAGCAATCCTCATTTTCATGGAATCAGAAAGCATGCTTGGAAAATAACTGACTCTCTAGCCAGGTCATTGCTTTAGTTACCATCATCACATCCATCATTGGATTGCTTGTAGTCAAGGCTGAACCATGAAAGCAGGAAAGTTAACAGTGGTGCTGTTCTCTGCTTCCCCATGTACCTCAACAATCTGCAGCTGAGCTGTTAAAGTTCTTCTCAAGTTTAAAATTGTAGACAAGTTACAGCCTAGAGATTGTAACAAGAAATCTGGTATTTCTTCTTCCTTTTTTTTTCTTCAGAATTTGCTTTTAAAATGTGGTTGGCATATTGTGTTGTGGTTTAAAGTTAGGCTGTGATATCTGCACCTTTCGGTTCAACACATCTGATTTCAGCAGATCCTTATATGTTACTTTTTAACAACATTCTTATTAAGTTTTTTCAGAATTGATCTTTGCTTCCGGGTTGATCCAGTCTTAAGTGGGTAACAGGTAATGCCCTGGGAGGTAAAGACGGCCAGTGTCATGTTGACCATATCACCCATTGTATGCCATTCGATATATTGATATGTAGGTCTACCACTATACACCTGATGTGTTAGAGGCCTGAGAGATGATCCTTAATTTGACATTTTTGTTTTTTCAACATTCACTGGCTGTAAACACCGGCAGAAAGTTCTGGTTGTTTTTCTACTCCTGGACTTTGGTCTTAATTTAGAACCTTCATGTGGAGTTTTAATTACTATTTTTTTTTTTTACAAACAAGGAAAATGTCATGTATTGATTGTAGCACATTATTTTTTTTATTTATGAAGGAATTCCAAGCCCTAGCAGACTTGGGAGATCAAGGAAACCAGAGATCACTTCAACAGATGACTGTGTTGGAACCAAGTAATGCTGAAAAGGGCCAGGGTGAAATAACCTATCAGTTACAACAAATTCTGCCTGAAATGGCACAAAACAAGGAAGAGGAAGACGGGTTGGAGATACTGGGACATAACTCTGTTACTGATGCTCAAAAATTGACAGGAACACCTCACAGAGCAAGCACAAAGAGAATAAAAGCTCACTCTTCGGCAGGAGATGTGAAAGCTGTTGACGACACTCCACCGCTTGCAGATGATCCAAATTCTATAGCAAGCTCTTCATCCCTAGTGGAGGATGTGAATTCCATTGACAGTACTCCACCACCTGCTAAGGTTGTGAGTTCTATTGCCAGCACTCCACCCCTCATAGAAGACAGCAGTAAGGAGCATCCTACTCCGCAGACAGGAAACAAGAGAAGGAAAATTCAAAATGAACAAGAGGATAATGGTTTATCGGGGAAGGAAAGTGATATCACTGTGGCATCTGCTTCTAAAAAAATAGGAGATCCATGGTGGAGAAAACTAAAGAAGCTGTAGATTCAGGAGGTAGACGAAGCAGTGCAAGACCCAGAAAGAAGATATCCTATCAACAGCTGGCTACAGGTGTTGAGAAGAGGGTCAGGTCTGTTGATCCACACGCGGAGGCAGAGAGTGGGGGGACAGCAGCATTACTTTCTGATCATGAAAGTGGCAACACACCTGGCAAGAAATCGGCTACATCATTAAAGGACAGCAAAACCAAAGCTAAGAAGACAATGTCGACACCAGTGAATGACAGTAATGCCAAAGCAAGCAACAAATCTGCTACACCATTGAATGAGAGTAATGCCAGAGCTAGTAACACATCTGCTACACCATTGAATGACAGTAATGCCAGGGCTAAGAAGACAGTGGCTACGTCATTGGATGTCAATAACCCCAAAGCTAGCGAGAAATCTGCCACATTGTTGGATAATAGTAGCACCACACTTAGCCAGAAATCAGCCACATCGTTGGATAATAGTAGCACCACACTTAGCCAGAAATCAGCCACATCGTTGGATAATAGTAACACCACACCTAGCCAGAAATCTGCTACATCATTGGATAATAGTAACACCACACATAGCCAGATATCTTCTACATCATTGGATGACAGCAATACCTCAGCTAGCAAGATCTTTGCTGCATCATTGGATGACAGCAATACCTCAGTTAGCAAGATCTTTGCTGCATCATTGGATGACAGCAATACCTCAGTTAGCAAGATCTTTGCTGCATCATTGGATGAAAGTAACAGCACTGGAAACCAAAAACCTGCTACCTCATCTCGTGCTGGGAACAATAAAGCTAACAAGAAAACGGCTGTGAATGGCAGAGATGTCAAATCTACCAAACAGAGTGACAGCATTAACACAGCTAGCGAGACGTCTGCTACATTATTAGATAACAGCAGCAACAAAGACTGTCATAAAACTGCTGCCTCTGTGGATGACAGTAACACCATGGATATCAAGAAATCTGCTACATCATTGGATGACAGGAACAGGAAAGACAGTAAGAAAGTTCCATCTTTAGGCGACAGTAACACCGTAGTTGTTGGCCAGCAACAGAACATAAGGAGACAGAGACCCACTAGACAACCTAAAGAGACTGCGGACAAAGAAAAATTGAAGAGAAAATCCAGTAGAAAATCTGTTAACACAAAAAGTGCAGAGAAAGATGGTAACGAAAGTGACGAAACAGCATCCCTGGCATCAATTGTGGATGGCAGTACTATCGTAGGTGATGAGACACCTGTCAAATTTACGGATGACAGTAGCGATAGAGAGCAGCTGAAAACAGGGGTGACTTCTGAGAACACTAGAAGGAGTCGGACAACTAGAATGGCTACAGAAAGTGATGCCAAAGAACAGACAAAGAAAATGGAAAATCGTCAGGGTAGTTCTGGAGCCAGTTCTGATTCTGTTTCTGCTACTTCTGAAAAAATAAACAGTGAGCCTTTGAGAGCAGGAGTAATTTCTGAGAACTCTAGACGAAGTAGGGCAACGCGAACAGCTAGGGAGAGTGATGCTAAAGAAGCCTCAAAGAAAATTAATAATTCGGATGACGACTCTGATTCTGTTTCTGCTACCTCTAGAAAAATAGTTGATGAGCATTTGATAAAAATAAATAATGAGCAATTGACGAAAATAGATTGTGAACAGTCGATAGCAGAAGCAACTTCTGAGAACACCAGAAGGAGTAGAACAAATAGGGAAAGTGCCAAAGTAGCCTCACAGAAAATTGATGGTACAGATGGTATTCCAGATTTTGTTGCTACTACTTCCAGAAAAAGATTGCATCCAACCGATACAGCAGCTGATAAAAAAAGCCGACGGATTGGAAAATCATCTGATTTAGCTTCAGATAAGGAAATGCCTGCAGGGAAGCAGAGTAAAAAGACAGTGGTCATTGCTGATGACCCAGGGAAAGAAAGTTCTCCGGCAGCTGTTGATTTGGCCCCAGCAGATCCAGAACCAGACAGTCAAGTAAGAGCAGTTAAGAATGTGACAGGTCGATCCAACAAAACTCCAAAGTTAGATACCAGCAGTGAAGCTGTACCATCCACTAACAGTAATTTCTGCAAGCTGACAATTCTCAAGAAACTTTGTGAGTCCAAAAATCCAGCAGAAACAGGTTGTTGCAGAGAAAACCTCAAGAATAGCAACAAGGAAATCCCTGCAGGTAGAAGAAAAAGGGAAAACACAGTCACAAAAACAGGAGAGAACACAAGCTTCACATCAGAGTGGTAGAGCTAAGAGTAGCAAGGCAGCTGAAGTATCCAGTGAGTGTCAAACAGAAGAGATTCAAACTCCAACTTTGCGAGGCAGAAGGGCAAAAAAGTCACTGGTCAATTCAGAAGCTTCTGCGGGTTTGTCAGGGTCACAGATCCCCAGAGTGAAGAAGCTATGTCGTTATCATCCTCATCTCAGACGTCAACATCTTCCAGAAAGTCAGCAGAAGTTTCAGACATCAGAGGTAGAGGCAGGAAGTCTGGAAGAGCAACTCCCACCATCAGTGACAATATCAGTGAGAAGGCAGGAAGTAGTCAGAATTCTGCTAGTGAGCATGATAAAAGTAGCCAGGTTTCTGCTTCAGATAAGACTAAATTTAGCCAGAAGAAAAAGGATGAAGGTAGCCAGAATTCAGCAAACTTGAAGAGAAGAAAGACAGCAGACAACAAGCTTAGCCAAGAAAGCCAAACTAACACACACACAGAACAAACTGAGGAACAGGTAAGCCTTTGCCTATTGTATTTTTGTTTTCTTCTTGTACATTAAATCTTCACACTCTTCTTCTTGTTCATTGTCTTCTTCATCCTTCAAGCAAAATAACTTTTTTTTAAGGCAAGATGAGGTCAAATTTTTCCCGAAGGCCTCAGTGGTAGAGGTCCTGGATGTCACAGAATGTTTCACCAGATGCATGTTGTTTTAGGTCCTGGGGAGTGTATTGCATTTAACTCTTCACCCTGTTTATGTTTATTGATTATTCCCTTCTTATACCTTTATATACCTTTAGATCCCTGGGGATCGTCACTGAGCTATGGAGTTTGTGCTCTCTGCAACGCTCTCGGCACACTGCTGGCTGTTTTGTGGAGAGAGACCGAACCATATAAGATCAAACCCTGTGCAATGAAGTTGATCCTCTTGATTTTAACCTTTATATATCTTCATATATTTCAACAACAACAATACAAATTATAAACTGTAAAAGGTAAAGTAAATGGACCCTTTTCCACGCCTTTCAGGCGTATTGGGTACATAGGGCTAGACCTATGTTTTATGGACCAAACGACACTTGGTGGGTGAGGTGGTCAGCATCATGCCGGCTGCATTTACTTCCCAGGACTATACCTGGTACCCACTCCAGGCTGGGTCGACCTGGGAGCCAAGGTCATTTTTGAAAAAAATCTGGCTCTCATCAGGAACTGATCTTCAGCCGAGCGTCTAGCCACTAGACCATGACAGCTCCCTAAATTACAAACTGTATATAAATTATTTCTTTACAAATTCACGAGTGAGGCTTTTAAAATTGTTTTCTTTAAGGATTTTTTCTGGAATTCCAACTGGCTCATGACCCATTTTTGTAGTGTTCCCGGGGCAAGAGGGTAATTAACACAAAAACATGGGAGACTGCTGCACAAGATTGATCTGGATGGCTGGCAATCCTCAAACATGTGCCGGCCTGTCACTCAACAGATGTACTGGCAGTGTTGTTGACTCCACTAAAGTCACAGTTGGCCAATTACATTCAGAATGTGAAATTTTGCAGATGCAATGCTGGTTTTCATGACTGACCATTTGCGTCGACCAGCTGCGCTGCTAATTTCTGTGGGGCAGAGGGTGGCGTTAGTGTTGGCATATCTAACAGCTGCCTTATGCATTTTTACTTTGCATGTGCAAGCTTCCAGATTTTGTTGGGACTGACAAGTATTTCACTATTTTTCAAATGGGACATTGAAGGACATTTTGCATGAGTTCCACTGGCACAGGAATTGAATAGGTATGGGTTAACCCATCTACAGTGATGTTGGATCTTTGACTTTTGATTATTAGTTTTTATTCTGTTTGTTTTAGTATCCAGAAGCCATGAGTTGATAACCCTTAGGCTCTGTATTATGGAGATCGCCACCTTTCGGCCTTGATTCCATTGTAAATACCGTAAATCTGGGAGAAATGTGGCTTTTCTGCCTACCCCTAGGATTGAACCCGGACCACAAGGAGTTCGTCACCTGGTCTCTGCACAATCCGGTTTAGCCAACTACGCTAGAGAGCCGGGCAGTTTTTATTCTAAATGATAATATTATTTATAAGTGTTTTATTGAAAACACAGAATTCATCTATACATATACCTTTTTAATGGGCTGCTTATTTCAATCCCTTTGCCTAGACATCTACACCTCGTGCCAAGAAGTCGAAGCAGATGCCAACTGTCAGGACACCGACAGGCAGAGTTCACACGGAGACAGCTGACAGTCCCCTTTTACGCAAATCAACTGCCAGCTCCAAGCCCCGTGTAATGTTTACAGGCTATCTCGATAAACAGGGGGAAAAGGTAGATCATTTGTCTGCTGTGGTGTGGGATCCTGTATTCAAATATTATCTTCTGTTCCAGAGTTATCTCCAGTTTATGTTGTTCTTTTTCTTCTTCTTCTTCTTCACTGCCTCGTTTACAACTTCCAGCATTAAGGGAATATAAGGTTCTTACTTCTGGCTAGCTAGATCAGGCATAGATACCTTGCCATGAACTGATGTATGACAAGCTGGATGTTGTGAGGGCCCTTTGGGAGCGAGTGAACCGTGCCAAAGAGCAGACAGATCATTATGGTCTAAGGAGAATGACACAGCGAGGAGTTACAAGAGGATCTGGCCGATGCTCGGCACTTAGGGTTTCTGGTACCATCGGAATTTTAACTCTTCGCTTGCTGCTGAAGATGGGGACGGAGCGCATATGGGGGGGGTGTCCTGAGTGCTGTGATGTCGATTCTTAATTAAACATTCAGATACCTTGTGCTGTTGTGGAGTTTCTCTAATGTTATCTTTTTTTTTTTGAAGAAGAAAGAAGAAGAAGAAATCTTAAAAAACCTTGGACAGCCAAAAAGAGCAGCCAAGAGGTTTTGAAAGAGGCTGGAGCCAGAAAACTTATCACAGACATCAGAAGGAGACAGTCATCATTTTTCGGCCATATTATGAAAAGAGGGGAAATGGAACATGTTGTGACCACTAGAAAGATCCGTGGAAGTAGGGATAGAGGAAGACAACAAGAGAAGTTTCTTGATAATCTTTTTTTTGCATGGCATGGAGGTGTGTCAGCACACAAGCTGATACATGCTGCAGGAGATCGTAGAATGTGGAGAGGCATGATCGCCCATGCTAGTCAACAGGGCATGTTATGATGATGATTTATTACAAATACACAACTCTGTTTACATCTCCAGCATAGCAAACAGCGCTCGCTGCATGCTTAAACCGGGACACGCAGGCGTCGATGGAAATGAAAGAGCTGACAGGTTGGCTGAATCTGCTATCACTACCGACGGTCAGCCTATGGATCATGCTGATATTAGCAATGCCCTCAGAGAAATAGGAAGGATAGAGGACTTTGGTGGCAGTGAATCCACATCACTCGCCAGAATGGCAGACTTGGGAATTAAGATCGCCATAGCAAAAAAGGAGACAGACACCAGACACACCAGAAGACTTGTTAATCAACATAGAACTGGTACTATTAGCCATCGGACGTTGAGGTTCATACTTAGGGGAGGATCTGAGCACCTATGTCCGGAGTGCAATGATGATAACCCAGCTAACTAACTAACTAACCACTCATGCAGAAACTGTCACCTATGAGAGCTACTAGTTGCAATACTACGATACTAGCTGTGCATGCATTCTCTCAACAGTGAGGCAACAAGGAGAAAAATATCATGTGATACCCTCTCCAGTATAATTGATACCTGCTAATGCTTACACATGCAAATCGAATACTGGTGCATTTTCTCTTTCTTTAATTTGTCTGTAAATTTTGTTATTTTACAGTTTTTGTATGTGTGTTCGCTGATCTGGCAACTTATTCAACCTGCTGTGGTCCGAACACGTTGTTACATTGCTTTGAAATAAACAAGGCAGACAGAGAGAGGGATCATGCTGCATTGGCAATACCTGCTCTGTCTCAGTACTGCCTTACTTTGTGCTGTGTTTTCACAAAAGCGTTATTTCTGTTTTGTGAAGAACAGGGTTTGTTCTTATTTCAGATCGTTCGAGATTTGGGAGGGGAGTTGGTCACTAGCGTCCAGGAGTGTAGTCACTTGGTTACAGACCGGGTAAGTTGGCTATTTGCAATGGATTGTCTGGTCTTATCTGTATGTTTGTCTCAAACGGCACAGTGTTAGTTTCTCCTTCTGAATCCCCTCCATCGCACAATGTGTTCTGATACATTTTACATTTGATCAAACATGCTACAAACATCTGGCATCCCCTTATTTTCTTTCTTTGCATACTTATCCTGTTTGAAAGTAGTTTTTCTCTAGCATTGATGGATACCATATTTTTCATTGTATAAGACTCCCTCATGTCTGAGACAACCTCTATGTTTTAACCCAGAATTAAGAAATAAATATTTTAATCACATTCTGTGTATATATTCTTCTTCTTCTTCAGCATTCTGAGCCCTTGAGGTTCATTGCTGCAGATATCACTCGCCTCCATTCATCTCTCTGGTTGTACGCTGTGGTGGAATGTTTTAGTTGTTCATCCACTTCAGGACTCTAATCTTGTTTCAGAACTTGATCTTTGCATGCACATCCCTTTTACAGATCAGACTTATTTGTATGCAGATTGTTGGTTCCTGGCCTCTCAGGAAACACCAATAATTAGTCACCTCCTATGACATGCTTTTTTCTGCACACAAGCCAATTAGTTTTTTTGCCCTTATCTGAGAAAGCTAGATGTTTGATCCACTACCCTAGATTTAATCTATATTGTTCACATTATGAAATATAACAAGTCTGTTCAACCTTGAGGCTGACACAGTTTCAAGCCACCACAAGATCCTGTAAGATTATGTAACACGATGGAACTGATTGTCTTCTTCAGATCTGCAGGACTGTCAAGTTTCTCAGCGGCCTTGCCAAGGGCTTACCGATTGTCTCCCCTAGATGGCTGGACAGTTGCAAGCAGGCAGGGACCTTTCTTGGTAAGGTTTACTTTCATTACTTTTTTTGGATTAACCTATCAATCTGTCTAATCATCCAGACATTAACCCATCTATCCATTAATCTCTTTACCTATATCTTCAGCATCTGCCTGTCTTTCTGTTAATACTGGTGTGTTAGGAAATGAAGAGGCAGATAATTTGGCTGTTTCTGAACCACTTTATTGTAAATTCATGCATGACAAGTGACAAGTCCTGGCTTTTGCTGGGGGCCATAAATGTAGCCGGGCCATATATATGGCCTGTCGACTGAATGAGGTTTCTGGGACCTCTCCACGGGTGATCCTCATCCGCATGGTGGCACTTTGTAAAACTACCTACCTACCCTGAAAGATAGATGTGGTCAAGGCCCTATGAGAGCAAGTAAACAAATCAGAAATGAATACATCGTCATGGTCTCAAGGCAGTAATGCAACAGGGGGAGACCAGGGGAGATGACTGAAACTCTCCCCGCCCTCCCCCTCCAAACCCAAGTCCTGTGTAGATTTGTGTAGATATAGTGAATGTGTAATGAGATCTGTCATGGTTATGCCAGGAATTGTTGTTGATGCGCATAACATTAACAACCTACTTTATGCTTGCTAATGACACCATCTTGATGGCACCAAGTTAGACAGAACTAAAGGGATTGATAGTTAACGGTGGTGGTAGAAAGTTTAAATAATGTGAAGACAGAAGTAATGGTGATATCAAAGAAAAGAATAGTACCTAAATGTGTAATGAAATCTAAGCCACAGATGTTGACAAAAGAACAAGAAAAAAGGTTAATATTTAGTCGTACAGATTTCACACTGATTACAAAGCTCTGATTTTTAAGTAAAGGTCGACAACTCAGTCCTATATCTCTTACAGATGGCCACCTGTTCCTGGTGTCCGACCCAGCGATGGAGAAACAGTACAAGTTTAGCCTGGCCACATCAATCAGTAAAGCTCAGGCTGGTCAACTTTTGGCTGGCTACAAGGTTCACGTGACTAGGTCCGTAAAACCAGACCCGTCACAGATGCAGGGTAAGGATTCTACATTGGTTTTGAATGTTATTGTGTGTGGGTTGCTTTGATGGGTTTTCCTCTGCTCTGTGTCCAAGTTTTAACAATGTGACCTGTGAATGAGACAGAGAGGAGAATAGTATCACTTGCTAAATGCATGGCTGTGGAACCCCCAAATTCTGTGTAGGGAGTAGTCAGGTAATGTGGTAATTGTAGTTTCAGCTTAGTATCATAAATGCAAACTGTGGAACCCCCAAATTCTCTGTAGGGAGTAGTCAGGTAATCTGGTAATCCAGCTTCATAGTGCTCTCCGCTCCTGTGCCAACGAAAAACACATAAAATGTTCATCGCAGTCCCTTGTGGAAAGATTGACAGACTGCTGTCTCAGCATATCTTTCATACACATGCATTAAAAGCATTTGGTGTAGGGAGTAGTATTTTGTCACTCCACAGGGGTGTTTGCAATAGCTCTTTTGTTTTTACTGGTAACATGCCAGAGAGAGATGAAGTAAGAAAAGATCATCACATGATACTTTAAGATGATTGGTTGTGAATCCCGGAATTTCTGTGTCGGTTCTGGGGCAAGATTTTGGGGAAAACAAGAATAGACCCACGCCTCCAAACAAGCTTGTCATAAGAGTCGACTAATTGAGGGCATCCTTCGAAGTCAGATTACATCTGCCCGAGCGGTAAGGAACAACCAGCTGCACATACAAAATAAGCCAGTAAAACAGGTGTACACACAAAACTCAGACCCTGGCACTAAGCCAAAGTCCAGTTGGACGAACAACCAGAACTTTCCACTGGAGCAAATAGTTAGTGAACAAAGAAGAAGAAGAATCCCTGAATGCTGAATGCATATCTGTGGAACCCCCTAATTCTGTGTAAGTAGTAGTATTTCATCACTTTAGAGTGGTGTTTGTATCAGCTCTTTTGTTTTTACTGGTAACATGCCAGAGAGAGGTGAGGTGAGAAAAGATCCATCACATGATGCTTTGAGTTGATTGGTTGTAAGACTGGCACGAAATCTAGGAATAAAGCCAGTCTTACAGGACATCAGAGAACAACAAATGAAGTGGTTTGGACCCTCACAAGAATGCCCTGGTACTATCTGCCACAGCGAGCCACACTAAAGCGTTACTACGGGTATAGAGTGAGTGGAAGACCTCAGAAAATATGGAGTGATAGCATTTAGAACAGCCTTAAAGAAATGAACATCAGTCTTAATGTGCTCTTGACAGAGCTCATCAATAAATGTTATATCTCCCCCCGACACTAGACGAGGTACAAGGTGGAAGAGAAGAAGAAGAAGAAGATTGGTTGTGAATCCCTGATTGCTTACTGCATAACTATTTCTTTGTGTTGCTTATCCTGCCCGTCAGTTGTTGTTTTTTTCGGTTAGTACTTTACAGCTGCAGATTAGACTTAAGAGTGTTAGCAGTGCTGTATGGATATTTTACAGGTGTCTATGCGTCACAATTCTGATAGAAACAAAAAAGTAAGTGGCATTTTGGCATTATCACTTTTAAACTCCAGGTGAGACAATTTGCTGAGGAACACGACAATAAATAGGCCAGCAGAGCGTCATTTTAGACCAACAACTGGGTAAAAACCCATAAAGCTTTTTGGTCTCTTGTTTTATACAAAGTGAACAAAGGAAAACATGAGAAAAGGTTTTTTCTGGAAAATTTGTTCACTTTTTGGGGTGAGTTTTATACAGGGGAAATTCTTATACTGACAAATATAGTAATAACTTTTCTGCTACTTCTTGATGACACCTGTAATTGTTATTTTCAGATATACTCAAGTTTGCTGGGGCACAGGTAAATATTTTTATAGTCAGTTAGCCGCAGTTCTAATTTTGCACCCGACAGGTTGCTCCATTTTTGCTTCAACCCTCTCCCAGTGGCAAACAGTGCATAGATACTGATGGGATAAAGCCTTTGAGTTATAGTGAACTAATAATGTGTTTTTATTTATGTTTTATATTCGGTCCAACCATACTCCAGAAATCTGGCTACCCAAGTGGCTCACTTGAAGATTTGCTACCACATTTTCTAGTACCGAAAGAGTTAACAAGCATGTCAGTACAGCACCAAAATGGTTAGCTGAAATAAGATTTTCTGAGCAGAAAAAGCACAGATATCACAGCCTGGCTATAAACCACAACACATTATGTCGCCCATCCTATTAAGGGGAAATGCAGGAGTAGAAGTTCAGATTGATTTTAACTAAAATGATCCTTGAGTCCCCTTTTACTTTGTTATTGTTGATGATTTTAACTAAAATGATCCTTGAATCCCCTTTTACTTTGTTATTGTTGATGATTTTAACTAAAATGATCCTTGAGTCCCCTTTTACTTTATTATTGTTGATGATTTTAACTAAAATGATCCTTGAATCCCCTTTTACTTTGTTATTGTTGATGATTTTAACTAAAATGATCCTAGAGTCCCCTTTTACTTTGTTATTGTTGATGATTTTAACTAAAATGATCCTTGAATCCCCTTTTACTTTGTTATTGTTGATGATTTTAACTAAAATGATCCTAGAGTCCCCTTTTACTTTGTTATTGTTGATGATTTTAACTAAAATGATCCTTGAATCCCCTTTTACTTTGTTATTGTTGATGATTTTAACTAAAATGATCCTTGAGTCCCCTTTTACTTTACTGTTGTTGAGGGCACCTTCCCATCTCTCAGGACGATAGTGTTATATTGCGCCTGTGAGGAGACCTGAGACTCACAGACCATGGCGATGGCGTGTTTGACTAGCAAGACCTGCTCGTGCAAAGAAGTCTTCCACAATTTGAGCATCGGATTCCAGGACCATTGTTTGCCATCACATGTATACGTGTTAAGGGAGCACTTTATGGGTTTACTACCTTTGGCTCGAGGTTTAAACCTAAAACTCAAACCTAAACTGTATTTCAGTGGGCTTCTGCGTGGTCTGGGGGCATGGCGTCCGCCTCGAGTGATGGAGGTCCCGGTAAAGGCTGGGATGTTTTCCACATGGACTTCTAGTAATTTCCCCTGGTCTCTGGGCAGTCAGATCAAATGCCTATGTGTATTATTGCGCACATAAAAAAAAACCCTGGCAGTTGGAAATAGAAAAAAAATAGCCTAACACGCTGCCAGGGCAAAATTTGGAGTTAAAAACCTGCCCAGAGTATTTCAGGATCTTTGCCGGTGTGACAGAGTTCGTGCACTGTGCTGAGATTTTTCGGACTCAGGCTGGAGTTAGAAGTAGAATGGAGCACTTATGGGTTACTACCTTTGTGCTGTGATGTTGATCGAGGTCGTTTAAACCTAAACCTCAAACCTAAAACCTAAACATGTATTCAGTGGGCTTCTTCTCAAATGTTCAGCTTTCATCCTCTCTTTAATCAAGTTTTCCTTTATTCCCATTTTCTTCCCGATTTTACCATCCAGGCAACATTTTGTTCCCATGAATCTACCTCATTACCTATATTATTCATGTCCCACTCACACACACATCTTTATATCACACTAGAGCCGGCCTCGACAACTTTTACTTTATTATTACATAGTTACCATTTTGCTCTAATTTGCTAAAAACAGATATGCTGTTTATCTATTAATGGTAAAGTAAGTTTATTGTTGTGTGCTAATCTTAATTATAACAACTGTAGTTGCAGAGATCTAATGTAATTTATAACAAATTTACTTTTGAGATGTATGCTGAAGTTGTACTCAAATGTCAGGCAGCTTTCACATTTCCTTTTGTAGTATATGAAGAGCATGCCTAGCAAGCCCCAGGACAAGCTTGTGGTTATTTCCTGTGCCGAAGATCAACCCTTGTGCCTGCCAGCCATCAAGGCAGGAATCCCTGTTGTAGGGACAGAGTTCATCCTTACTGGCATTTTGAGACAAGAACTTGATCTAGAATCGTATCCTTTTGTTGGTCATTGTAAATGTTAAAATAGATTTATAAGAATTGGCTGAATTGTTTTGTTATATCTGGCATATCCAGTTGTGTCGCTTTTGTTTTATAAACTGATTGTCTTATTTTGTTCTTGATTAGATTTTTCTTGACTTATTTCTTCTTGTGAAAACGTTTGTTAGTTGTAGGTTTTGTATGTTTTACAATTCTTTTGTCCCTTGTCTGTATCAGTTGAGGAGAGAATGACAGTTTTTGGGCCCCAAAAAATGCACCATGTGTAATTGAATATTATTATATCAACTCAGGCAGGAAGCCTGCATGTAATGTTGGTGGGTTTGGATGTTGATATGTTAAATATAGGATTGTCCCTGATCTTAGTATTAGCAGTCACTACAAAGTTTTTTCCTTTTAGTCTTCCCTTTCCTAGTCCATTTAACCTTTGATACACGGGGAGATCTGTCAGCTTTTAAAATGTTTCTGCTATCGCAGCCATGCTGTAAACGTACACAACGTATTTACATCTTTCGATGACCACAAAAGAAGTAGAATATTATTCAGTGTGTTTAACAGTGTAGACCGCCTAAGTTGATCTCAGATGTGGTGAATTTCTGTTATAAAGAACAGTTTGTTTATCCCCAGGCAGTGTTTCTTGCTTGAACTCTTATCTGGATCAGAGGAATTTCTGATTAGAAAAGCCATATTTCTCTTGGCTACTGCAGTTCCTCTGGGTGGGGAGCTACTTTATTATACAGGCTCTCTGGGATTCAGGTGGACACTGCAGCAGAATAGGCTGAGTACCTGTACATTGAAAGACTAATTCAGCAGGGCTGTCCTGGAAGATACTTGACACTGAGGGGATACAAGGTTAGTTGCGTATCCTTTTCAGGACTTTGCAGAACCAACCCCAGCAGCCTCTGGCTGTTGTGTGGTTTCTCTAGGCAAATTTACGTCCAGTAGTTTGCCATTGCTTTCTGGACGGTCGGCTTCCAGATACCACTCGAAACCAACGCAAGGTGCATGGCCCGCAGCTGGAATCAAACCCAGCACCCCGGGATATCAAAGCATTTGCATCGACTTAGCCACAGAGCCGACCAAGGGGATACATAGGCACACTTTTAATGTAGTAGCTACTGGTTCTGTTATCATATCGAGTCTTCATTGGTTACTGAGGTACGAGACGGAGCACTTTTGGGGAAACTGTTGTACATCATGACAGCAGGAAGGTCGAAGGTGAAGAGCGACCATGTGATAATCCTTCTATTTCCAGTTTGGTGACTCTAAGTGTTTGTAGGTCAAGTTAGTTAGTTTATTGGCAAGTCCAAAAGTACTAGGATCCCATCATGAGTATGGTGGCAGTTGATGACACCAGTCTGTGTTGGTTTAGTATTCATCTTTGACTGCCTGTATAGTGTTCATGCCTGGCAGTACCTCTTTTGATCTGAGTTTCTTGTAGTCTTTTTAATGTTGCCATTCCAACATCATCTCCTGAGTCATCTGTTTGTCATGCCTAAAAGAGAGCACTGTAGGTCTGTCTATATGTATTCTCTCCATCGTCTTCTTGGTCTCTACCTCATGGTCTACTCCAGTTCAACTCTTGTGGACTGACCACTGCCCGAAGACGTTCTGTCATCACAAGCTCTTAAAATTAGAAACACCCCGTCTTTCTCAGGGTGACAGGCTATATCTCAACAGGGAATTATTACGTACTTTGCTATTTTATTTATTTTAACCACATTGATTCTCATTATATCATTATTTTAGAAAGCGATTTGTGTTTTCATAGTTTTAATTCTGTATCTGATTTTATATTGTCAAAAAAAAAAAAAAACACCTAGTTATCCGATGGAGCCTTCCTGTTTTAAAAAACAAACAGCATAGTTATCTGATGGCGCGTTTTTATTTGTTAAACGGAAAGCCCATATACCTAAAAACTATTAATGGCCCATATGCAAAAGAACTGTCAGTTTATAGACTGAACCCTGTGGCACTGTGTGCAGTTTGGACAATAACACTCATTAAGTTACAGAGATTCTGAATGTCAGATTTATGACAAAACACAGAGATTCTGAATGTCAGATTTATGACAAAACACAGAGATTCTGAATGTCAGATATATGACAAAGCACAGAGATTCTGAATGTCAGATTTATGACAAAACACAGAGATTCTGAATGTCAGATTTATGACAAAAATGTGTTCCTTTCAGTAGCTTCGCACCATGTTTTGTGTGTATGTTAGTAGTGAAGAGCCATCAGATAACTGCATTTTTTTTTTTTTTGAACAGTAAAGAATTTGTATTCTTATTTGTCTTCTTGTATGTAGCAACAGTTTCCTCAACTCTGATAGATTTTCACTGTTTCAAGATGAAGCAAAGTCACAGAAGAAGGCAGTCCAGAAGAAATAACCTACAGAAAGCGGACATCAAAGAGAGGGAGAGAGAAAACAAACATCAGTGACGAGAGAGAGCTAGAGCAAACAGAAATAAGTGGAGTGAGGATCCTTATATGGCTTCCGGGGCCCAAATTAGTGGGGAGAGGGATAGACCCACTTCCGCCAACAAGCATGTCATAAGAGGCTGCTGGATAGGGGTTTGTTGAAATCTAATGCATTAGGCCAAATGATGCGATTACAGTCTAACTGTAAACCGCAATACAGTGTCCTAAGCACTCTTTTGAGAGTGAATGAGGAATAAGAAGTGGAGAGAAGGGAAAAAACAAACAATGGAAATGGAGGCGAGGGAGAGAGAGGGAAAGAGAGAATTTAAATGAGTGGAAACAGAACAGATCTAAGTAAACCAAATGCGGTAAACATGATGTTGACATCACCCATCAAGTGCCGATTGATGTGTGAAAGTAACACTCTTGCGCCATATTCTTGATTCGCCTCTTGCATCAGGAGCATCTTCTATATTTTTACCTAACTGTTACAATATTTACAGGTGTCTGCTGGGTACCAGATCATTTGTCCAAAGTGCCTGTAGCATTCTGTCAATAGTAACAAATGCATTTGAAAACAAATGTGTGAGGAAAATGTTAAACATGAAACTGGAGGATTTCACTTCGTCAACACATGTTCAGACTTTTCAATGTAGGAAACACCGAGACATGTCCCTGTAGAGTGGCACCCGAAAATGCTGAGCATGTGCTCCAACACTGTCAACTGTATGCTGGCAACAGAGACGCAATCTGGCCTGTTCCAACCACATTGAAGACAAAACTGAATGGTACACGAGGGAATATGCACTGCACAATAGATTTCAAAAGGCTACTGGCCTCGTGATATAAGTTTTCTGACAGAAGGATCGAAGAAGAAGGAGGAAGTTAAGCAATAAGAGAAATGTCTATGCAGCCACTGGTAAGAACAGCTAAAAGCAAAGAAGATGGTTCAGTATTGGGCACATCCTGGAGAAACCAGCAGACAGGCACTAAAATGGGAAATAAAGGGACTGAGGAAGTGAGGGTGTCTAATGAGAGAGGCCAAAGCCCCTGGACTGGATTCCATCCATTATATTGAATTGACTGCACACGATAGAACCCAATGGAGGAATAGACTGCGAGCCCTATGTGACATATAATGACACAACAGTTCAATGATGATGATGATGAATGTTTGTGGACTGTTGAGAACTGTGGACCAATTTTTATTTGTGAATTAAACTCTTAAAATATGTAATTTGTTTTAAAGACAGGATTTATAAAATGTTATTTTTTTTGTTAGTAATTACAAAAAATTGTTACGAACGCAATGATAATAAATAATTTACTCTGACACTGTGTACTGTTTTAAATTGCTGTATTTTAATTCTGAATCTCTTCCTTTCTTCTTCTTCTTCCAGTTCTTCTTCTCCCTCCTCCAGACATCAGTCAATATTTTAAAAATAAAACGTCAGTTTGTCATTATATTTTGCCAGCTTATGAAGGTGTAGACATTGAGAGAATGCCAGATGACAGAGAAGTTATAAACTGTATACAAGGGAGTTGAATGGATGTAAACCAAGAGGCAGACCAAGAAGACAGCGGAGAGATAATATACAGGCAGACCTGCAAACATTTGGAGCCGCCAACTGGAAAGAGAGGACTACTCACAGAGATGAATGGAGACTGGTTATCTCCGCAGCAATGAATCTCAGGAGCTCCAATGCTGAAGAAGAAAAAGATGATGGTGATGATGAATATGCTCACAGTTATGTCTCAAAATTTATCTTCTGTTCACTGGTCTTCTTCTGCTTCTTTGCGTTCACCAGCTGTTGTCTTGTTTTTCGTCCATCTCAGGACTTTATTCTTGTTCCAGACCTGAGTGTTGCGATCAAAATCTTTTCACAGATCTGACTTATCTGTTTGCAGACCGTTGGTTTCTTGCCTCTGAGGCAGATGCAGTCGGACTTTGAAGGAAGCTCCCAATAAGTTGACTCTTATGACATGCTTGTTTGGGGAGACAGTGGGTCTATTCATGTTTTCCCCAAAATGGGGCCCCGGGAACCAACATGTGGAGGTGTGTTCACTTTTGAACAGGGGTTACTATGTTGTTTGCACTCAAATTCAATGGTCAAAAAAAAAAAAAAAAATTAAAGTACCTTATTCATGCCAGTGACCTACGTGGCATATGATGCTACACTTATATATTTGTATAGACCAATGAGAACTTGACGATTGGTATGGGCAGCGTGATACCGACCGCTTTTCCTTCTTATAACTTTTAGTACTCATGTTAAGCTACCTCAGCTTAAGAGTCAAGGTCATTTTTGAAGGAAAACCTAACTCAATGCGGATTCAAAGCCAAAAAAATGAGCATCTAGCTGCTGTAGCCCATTTTTCAATTTTAAAAGCAAATGTTTAGCTATCATTTTATCAATTCCATGGTTGCATTTAACAGATTTTTCAAGCTTTATCTCTTTAAACAAAATATATTTCTTGTCTCCTATGACCTTTGCAGAATCTGAAAATTGCTACTTAATCATGTCAAGGCATGGCAGTACTGTAACATTAGTTCCTGTTGGAAAGGGTTCAGCATTCGTGTATCACTACTTCAAAAGTTAGATTCAGTTATCAGTATTACAGAGACTCGCATGAATGTTCTCTCTGAGGTTTGCGGGAGTACGAGGGAATGAAAGAGTGAACAGTATTTCTGGTGACAGATAGGATAGCTACGGGAACACTCATACTGGATAAAAGAAATATCCTGAAGACCATTTATGCAGAAGACGTGAGGTTAGAATAAATAATGTGTAAGAATTATGCGAACAATGAATTAGGTGTAGATCCAGGAAGGAGTATGAGTGGAAGAAAATGACATGTATATAGTACAATCAGTATGCTATGGGAACAGTTACCATCTACACCATAAGACAGGGATTCCCAAATTGTGCGCCGTGGCGCCCTGGGGAGCCACGACCTCTTCACAGGGGCGCCGCAAAATATTTGAAGATGCACAAGTTTTTTTTTTCTTTCTCACATATGAATAGTCATACGTTTATTTAGGTTGGGGCTCCGTGGAAAAATTTTAATTGAAATAAGGTGCCGCGACTAAGAAAGGCTTGAGAAACACTGGCATAAGACAATTTACCGCGGGAGACACAGAGTATCTGTGGGTACACCTGGTATGCAGTGATGTTGATTCTTAAATTAGTAAATCAGTGTCACTGATGTGAAGGTATTACTAGTGTTTGCTGCTACTGTTTTTCTGTGATGACTCCACATCTGAAGCTGCATTAGCTGCAACAGTCTGGCTGCTACTTCGATTTACAGACTTAGCGTCAGTTCCCACAGTTGTGTTAACCCAAGGAGCCTTTCTACTAATGCTTTCACGAATGCTGTTCCTTGTTATACCTACAGTGTCAGTTGTGCTCTTGTTTGTTGTACTGACAATGCCATTTCTACTGTTGCTTGTACCAGCAATGCCAGTTGTACTTTTTGTTGTTGTACCGACAATGCCGGTTTTATTGTTACTTGTTTTACCTACAATGCCATTTGTAATTGTGTGCGGTGTAGCAATAATGTCACTTGTACTTTTGCTTGTTGTACCAACAATGCCAGATGTACTTTTGCTTGTTAAACCAACAATGCCAGTTATACTTTTGCTAGTTAAACCAACAATGCCAGTTGTACTTTTGCTGATAGCTGCCAGATCAGGAATGATGATAGTTTGCAAGTTTGTCCAACATTTCAGGAATTCCATTACCACAGTACACCTGGGGATTATAAATATACATTGTTGATGTCAATACGCTGTGGTTTATAATTTTGAATTGTCTTTATAATAAGGATTATAAATATACATTTGTGATGCCTTTATATTGGGGATTACTAGAGACAACATTACAAATATGGATAATCTATTTCAAGCGAATGAAAGAAGAATTAGATATTGGGGATTATTATTATACATTTGTGATGCCTTTATGTAGATGATTATAAATATATATAATTGATGTCTTTATGCTGTGGTTTATAATTATAAATTCTAGATGCTTTTGAATAGAGATTACACATTGTTGATGTCTTTATGTTAGGGATAATAAATATACACTGTTGATGTCTTTATGTTGAGGATTATAAATATACATTGTTGATGTTTTTATGTTGGAGATTCTACACATATATTGTTGACGTCTGTATGTGGCTATAAAAATGAATTGGTGTAATTGTGTTGGCGATTATAAATATACATTGTTGTTGTTTTTTGGCAAGGAATTTAAAATATTCCTTAATTATGCTTACAAATATAAATATACATTGTTAATGTCTTTATGCTGGAAATTATAAATATGCCTTGTTGTCTTTTGCAGAGAATTATAAATATTCAAAAATTATTTATAGAATTTTAAATATTCACTGCTGATGTCTTAATGCTAGGGTTTATAAAAATACAGTTGATATCATAATGTCAAGAATTATAAATATACGGTGTTGATTTTTTTATGTGAGGGATTATAAATATACATTGTTGTTATTTTTTTTGCAAGGAATTATAAACATTCCTAAATTATCCTTATAATTATAAATATACATTGTTGTTTTCTTTATGCCATGGCTATAAAAATGAATTGGTATTTTTATGTTGCCAATTATAAATTCTTTGTGTGTGTGAGGAATTATACACTTTCCACACATTTATTGTTATAAATAAACATTTTTGATGTCTTTATGCTGGGAATTATTAATATGCATTGACCTTTGCGGAGAATTATGAATATTCATTAATTATTCTTAGAATTTTAAATATTTTCTGTTGATGTATTAATGCTGGGGATTATAAATATAATTTGTTGATATCTTTATGTCTAGGATTGTAATAAATATACATTGTTGATGTGTTTATGTCAGGGATTATAAATATACATTGTTGATGTCTTTATGACGGGGATTATAAATATACATTGCTGATGTCTTTATGTGGGCGAATATA